ACTAGAACTGCTTTCAATAACTTTGAAATCACTATGACTATCACATTCACTGCTCACATCTGAGTCTTGTACACGGGCAAATAGTTTCCTCTTTCGTCCTGGTACAGGTGAATGTGAACGAGCCAGCCCAGCACCAGAGGTGGAAGGTTGTGGGTCATCTGGGTTTTCATCACTAATTACGTTATCCTGGGCACATTTTTCGGTCACACCCGCTTGAAAACCATGGAATTCACTTTCACTGACACTTCCATCACTGTTAGAGCTATCACTTGGAAACAAAAGACTTCCAATCTGCCGAGGAGTGAGGTACTTCTTACTGCGAGGCATGGTGAAAATGGACTACCAAGATGGCGTTCCCACAATGCACCACTGAGTCCCAGATTTTTTCACAGGGTGCACACCCACCACTCAGACCCATTCTCTCTCATGTAGGCCTACCAGCTTTCTCCCGCTTGATTTGAAGCCGCTAGAATTTACGCGTATAAATACGTCAGAAACAGTGGCGCGTAAGACGTATATATACGACGTAAACAATCAAAGGGTTAAAAAAATCTGGGACCACTTAGTACCTTGTAGGAGCGCCAGTTAAACTGAGCCCCAGCTAGAGCAAACAGTGTAGCAAACACCAAGGATTCACTGATGTAATGTCATATTAACACTCCTCTTTTAAGAGGAAAGTGATGTTAACCCCAAGTTTAGGGTCTGTTGATCTCTGTCTATCTCTGTCTGTCTCTGTCTATCTGTCTTTGTCTGTCTCTATCAGTCTCTGTCTGTGTCTGTCTCTATCTGTCTCTGCCTTTGTCTGTCTCTGTCTATCTCTTTCAGTCTGTCTCTGTTTATCTCTGTCTCACAGGTACATATAAATACAAGTATATGTAGTATAAATTACCTAGGATAACCCAAAAAATCCAGACAAAGTGCTATACTCTGCTTGAAGATGTGAGTAAAGGTAATGACGCAGTCATGTGGCTCTCTCTGAGACAAAGAGCTAGGCGGATAGACAGATAGACAGGGAGCTTGACAGACAGACAAATAGACAGACAGACATGTTTGTGTACCAGTGAAAACAAAGCGAGGGCGATGCTCATCAAATGTCACTTCTAATCTTTTCTTATCTGTTGCACCCTCCCCCACCCTCGTGTATGCTTATCAAACGTCAGCTCTTATCAGATGTTATCTCATCTTATCATGTCACTGTCAGGGGTGGACTTTGTTTTTCATGCTTCAAGGGAACTTATTATTACCTATTATTATTATGTATTCTCCTCCTCCTCCTCCTTCTCCTCCTCCTCCTCTTCTGCTTCCTCCCTCTCCTTCTTCTCCTCCTCATTATTATTATATATTTCTACATATCCAAAACATTGCTGGGGCCTATAAATACTTTGTATATATCCCAAGACAATAGTAAATGACCAAGGCAGGTGTAAATGTCCACCTGTCAATGTGTTTGTGACAATTTGAGTACAATTTCAGTACTTAATACTAGTGTCAGAACAAAGATTGGTTATGAAATGACAAGAACTACTATCAATTGTAATTATCAGAGCATAAAAATTATATAAAACAATATGAAAAATAGAAAAAAAGGTATATCGGCGACACTTCTGCAAGCGGCAAGACGCCAGGTTGCCGTCACGTGAGCATCCAGTGCCAACTTCTCAGCCTCATATCTCTGTAAGTTTTTTTTTTTTTTTTTCAACAAGTCGGCCGTCTCCCACCGAGGCAGGGTGACCCAAAAAAGAAAGAAAATCCCCAAAAAGAAAATACTTTCATCATCATTCAACACTTTCACCACACTCGCACATTATCACTGTTTTGCAGAGGTGCTCAGAATACAACAGTTTAGAAGCATACACATATAAAGATACACAACATATCCCTCCAAACTGCCAATATTCCAAACCCCTCCTTTAAAGTGCAGGCATTGTACTTCCCATTTCCAGGACTCAAGTCCAACTACGTATATGAAAATAACCGGTTTCCCTGAATCCCTTCACTAAATATTACCCTGCTCACACTCCAACAGATCGTCAGGTCCCAAGTACCATTCGTCTCCATTCACTCCTATCTAACATGCTCACGCACACTTGCTGGAAGTCCAAGCCCCTTGCCCACAAAACCTCCTTTACCCCCTCTCTCCAACCCTATCGAGGACGACCCCTACCCCGCCTTCCTTCCCCTATAGATTTATATGCTTTCCATGTCATTCTACTTTGATCCATTCTCTCTAAATGACCAAACCACTTCAAAAACCCCTCTTCTGCCCTCTGACTAATACTTTTATTAACTCCACACCTTTTCCTAATTTCCACACTCCGAATTTTCTGCATAATATTTACACCACACATTGCCCTTAAACAGGACATCTCCACTGCCTCCAACCGTCTCCTCGCTGCTGCATTTACCACCCAAGCTTCACACCCATATAAGAGTGTTGGTACTACTATACTTTCATACATTCCCTTCTTTGCCTCCATAGATAACATTTTTTGACTCCACATATACACACCACTCACCTTTTTTCCCTCATCAATTCTATGATTAACCTCATCCTTCATAAATCCATCCGCCGACACGTCAACTCCCAAGTATCTGAAAACATTCACTTCTTACATACTCCTCCTCCCCAATTTGATATCCAATTCTTTATCTAAACCATTTGATACCCTCATCACCTTACTCTTTTCTATGTTCACTTTCAACTTTCTACCTTTACACACATTCCCAAACTCATCCACTAACCTTTGCAATTTTTCTTTAGAATCTCCCATAAGCACAGTATCATCAGCAAAAAGTAACTGTGTCAATTCCCATTTTGAATTTGATTCCCCAAAATTTAATCCCACCCCTCTCCCGAACACCCTAGCATTTACTTTCTTTACAACCCCATCTATAAATATATTAAACAACCATGGTGACATTACACATCCCTGTCTAAGACCTACTTTTACCGGGAAGTATTCTCCCTCTCTTCTACACACCCTAACCTGAGCCTAACTATCCTCATAAAATCTCTTTACAGCATTTAATAACTTACCACCTATTCCATATACTTGCAACATCTGCCACATTGCTCCTCTATCCACTCTATCATATGCCTTTTCTAAATCCATAAATGCAATAAGAACTTCCCTACCTTTATCTAAATACTGTTCACATATATGCTTCAATGTAAACACTTGATCTACACATCCCCTACCCACTCTGAAACCTCCTTGCTCATCTGCAATCCTACATTCTGTCTTACCTCTAATTCTTTCAATTATAACCCTACCGTACACTTTTCCTGGTATACTCAGTAAACTTATTCCTCTATAATTTTTACAGTCTCTTTTGTCCCCTTTCCCTTTATATAAAAGGACTATACACGCTCTCTGCCAATCCCTAGGTACCTTCCCCTCTTCATACATTTATTAAACAAAAGTACCAACCACTCCAACACTATATCCCCCCTGCTTTTAACATTTCTGTCATGATCCCATCAGTTCCAGCTGCTTTACCCCCTTTCATTCTACGTAATGCCTCACGTACCTCCCCCACACTTACATTCTGCTCTTCTTCACTCCTAAAAGATGGTATACCTCCCTGACCAGTGCATGAAATTACTGCCTCTCTTTCTTCCTTAACATTTAAAAGTTCCTCAAAATATTCTCGCCATCTACCTAATACCTCCATCTCCCATCTACTAACTCCCCTACTCTGTTTTTAACTGACAAATCCATACTTTCCCCAGGCTTTCTTAACTTGTTTAACTCACTCCAAAATTTTTTCTTATTTTCATTAAAATTTCTTGACGGTGCCTCTCCCACTCTATCATCTGCTCTCCTTTTGCCCTCTCTCACCACTCTCTTTACCTTTCTTTTACTCTCCATATACTCTGCTCTTCTTATAACACTTCTGCTTTGTAAAAACCTCTCATAAGCTACCCTTTTCTCTTTTATCACACCCTTTACTTCATCATTCCACCAATCACTCCTCTTTCCTCCTGCCCCCACCCTCCTATAACCACAAACTTCTGCCCCACATTCTAATACTGCATTTTAAAAGCTATTCCAACCCTCTTCAACCCCCCCACTACTCATCTTTGCACTTGCTCACCTTTCTGCCAATAGTCACTTATATCTCACCCGAACTTCCTCCTCCCTTAGTTTATACACTTTCACCTCCCTCTTACTTCTTGTTGCCACCTTCCTCTTTTCCCATCTACCTCTTACTCTAACTGTAGCTACAACTAAATAATGATCCGATATATCAGTTGCCCCTCCATAAACATGTACATCCTGGAGCCTACCCATCAACCTTTTATCCACCAATACATAATCTAATAAACTACTTTCATTACGTGCTACATCATACCTTGTATATTTATTTATCCCCTTTTTCATAAAATATGTATTACTTATTACCAAATCTCTTTCTACACATAGCTCAATTAAAGGCTCCCCATTTATATTTACCCCTGGCACCCGAAATTTACCTACTACTCCCTCCATAACATTTTTACCCACTTTAGCATTGAAATCCCCAACCACCATTACTCTCACACTTGATTCAAAACTCCCCACACATTCACTCAACATTTCCCAAAATCTCTCTCTCTCCTCTACACTTCTCTCTTCTCCAGGTGCATACACGCTTATTATAGCCCACTTTTCACATCCAATCTTTATTTTACTCCACATAATCCTTGAATTAATACATTTATAGTCCCTCTTTTCCTGCCATAGCTTATCCTTCAACATTATTGCTACTCCTTCTTTAGCTCTAACTCTATTTGAAACCCCTGACCTAATCCCATTTATTCCTCTCCATTGAAACTCTCCCACCCCCTTCAGCTTTGTTTCACTTAAAGCCAGGACATCTGTAAGTACTGACCCTAATTTTTTTTTATTCTAAAACACTTAAAAAATGTGCTCTTTTTTCTATAAAAAAAAAAAAAAATTTTTTTTTCAAAATATTCGGGGCGCTGCACAAGTGAACGTATATATATGTTTGGACCGTTTAAGGGTTAAAGACTAGCTCTCTGGAACGGGCTGAAGGCGTTAGCCGAGGGTCCACTGTACTTATGGGCATGCATGTTTATGACACTTACAGTACATTATTCAGTTAATTACTCTTTTAAGCTTACCGGACAAAACGCTTTTGCAGAGGCTCATTCTTATGCACTACAGAAATTGCAGCACACACCCAGGTCTCATCAATCTTCTTCCAGTGGCGTACATTGACGAAGTCTCTGGCAGAAACCGCACCCCCAGGGCCCTTTGCTGCTACATGGTACACCACATCTGTGCTGTTGTCTATTGCCTGTGCATGCAGAATAAATATTGTACTACAATATCAGACTATGGGAGCAAGGGGGCTAGTAACCCCTTCTCCCGTATAAATTACTAAATGTAAAAAGAAAATTTTTTCTTCTTTTTAGATCACCCTGCCTCGGTGAGATACGATCAGTACATAAAAAAAAAAAAAAAAAGATTAGTCATCTGAAAAGCACACTTGTGAAACAACTTTAATGTATTATTCTCACTTTGTTTCCTACTTCAGTGGGTATGTCAAAAGCAAAAGGCTTAAGAATATGAGAATAGTGAAGCACTGCAGTAGGCCTACTGTCCCATGCTAGGCAACTCCTACTTGAAAGTTAAGACACATGTGCAACATCTGGTTATCTTTATTGTAGACGTTTTGCCATCCAGTGGCTTTATCAATACAGATTCAAGGACATAACTAGAAGACAGTAGAACTATATATAAAAGATGAGGTAATCAGTCCCTCAGCCTTGGAGTTGGTGTGAAGAGCACCATGGTTGTAGAGATTCTGAAGCACAGGCAAGGAGGCTGGCACTTATGTAGGCATCAGTGGATAGGGCAATTGTGATGAAACAGGCCTGTTTTGGAAGAAAATGCCAAAGAGAACCTACATTACGCAGGAGGAAAAGGCACTTCCAGGACACAATCCTATGAAAGACAGGCTAACTCTTTTGTTATGTGGCAATGCTAGTGGGGATTTCAAAGCGAGGCCTTTACTGGTTTATCACTCTGAAAATGCCAGAGTATTAAAGAAAAACAGTGTTGTCAAAGAGTAAATTGTGTGTGATGTGGAAGGCTAAGAGTAAGGCATGGGTTACTAGGGAAATTTTCCTGGAATGGTTCAATGAAGTGTTTGGCTCGATTGTGAAGAAATACCACCTGGATAATAAATTGCCACTCTAGTGCCTACTGTTAATGTACAATGCTCCCGCTCATCCTCCAGACTTGGAAGACCAATTGTCTAAGGAATTCAGTTCTGTAACAGTGAACAGTTCTTGCCTCCTAACACCACTCCTCTCCTCTAGCCCATGAACCAGAAGATCACTGCAAACTTCAAAAAACTGTACACCAAAAGCAATGTTTCAAAGTTGCTTTGACATAACCTCAGACTCTGAATTGACCCTAGGAGAGTTCTGGAAGAATCACTTAAGTATCTTCCACTGCATAGGCCTTATAGATAAAGCTTGGCAGGGAGTGACTTCCAGGACGATGAACTCTGCTTGGGGAAAACTGGTGCCAGATTGTGTCCAAAAGAAGGATTTTGAAAGGTTTCAGGCTGACCCTGTCGACCCTACACCTGTTGTGCAATCAATTGTGGCATTGGGGAATTCCACGGGGTTGGATGTGAGTGGCCAGGATGTGGAAGAGTTGGTGGAGGACCACAATGAAGAGCTAACCACAGACCACAGCTCAGGAAATTGCTTTAGAGGAGGAGGAAGAGAGATAGAAGAAGGTGCCTTCTTCAAAGATTAAGGAGATTTGTTCAATGTGGACTAAAGTGTATTCATTTGTGGAGGAACATCACCCTGAGAAAGCTGCTGCAATCCATGCTGGTGACTTTTACAATGACAATGCCATGTCCCATTTTAGGCAAATCTTAGAAAGACACCAGAAACAGACCTATCTGGACAGATATTTTGTGTGACAGGGGTCCAGTGACTCTCAAGCTGGTCCTAGTGGCATTAAAAAACAAAGGAGGGAAGTGACCCCGGATAAGGACTTGGTACCTAGAGTCCTTATGGAGCGGGATTCCCCTTCCAAGCAATAACCTCTCTTCCCTCTCCCCTCCTCCCTGTCTTCCATCCAGCAACAACAGCCTTCAATAAAGGTAAATGTCAAATGTAATGTTCATTCTTTTGTGCATGTAACTATCTTTAGGTAAAAAAAAAATTTTTTTTGTTGATACTTCTGGGTGTCTGCAACAGATTAATTCCATTTCTATTATTTCTTATGGGGAAAATGGTTTCGGTTTTGGCCAATGGCTCTGAAATGGATTAAACACGAAAACCGAGGGTCCACTGTACATTAATGCATAACAAATTAATGAAAACAGAACATCATGATCATAGTTCTATTCCTAGGGTTGAAAGTACGTTATTGTGGTTATATTGCCTTAGTACATGCCTGGTAACTAAATGCAGTACAAGTACAGGTCAGCCATCACTGATCTAGCAATCAATAATCCGGTTCCATCACTAATCCAGCACTTATTTTGGCAAGCATAATTTCAAATTTAGCTGTTAGTTTACGTGCATTCTAATCTAACCACTCTGTGATCTGGCAAAATCATGAATCCAGCACCCTACAGGTCCCAATGATGCCGGATTAGTGATGGTCGACCTGTAGAGAACACACTGTACATTAAGGCAAGTTTAAACTCTTGCTCGACTTCAAATGTAAAGAAAAGGTAATTAAGTGACTTGTACAACTCTACCCAAGTTAATTAACTGACCTGCACAATTCTGCCCAAGGTAATGGCTTTATTCCAGTTGGACATATTTTCAAAGTTGTAAACCATTTCATTAAACAACCAAGTTGAATCAATATCAACCACACCCTGAAAAAGAGAAAAGATCAAACTTGTAAAATTGAACTGAAGTGCTGGAGATAGGAGGATGAATCTATGAGGATCCTTACAATGGTATATGCAAGCTATCAAGTTAGAGATGGCAGAGTTAGTTCTAACAATGAGCATATAATGATGACACTCTCTTATTACAATTATAAACCAATATTGAATAAAAGTCATTTTATCATGACTTGAACAATTCACAAGTAATCCACAACTGAAATGAAAGCCTTAGACAACATTTTGGTCCATTCTGGATCAATACATTTTCTTGGTAATGGATGGACCAAAAAATTTAAAGTTTCCTCTCTAAATTGTAGATCAGTTGTGAAACTCGTAACAAGGAAGATAGGAAGGAGACCGTCTGCTTTTTTTTTTTTTTAGGGTATTAGTAATGATCCTACATCACTTGTGTTGTATTTAACCTCATGCCACTTGTATATACAATACTGAACAACTGTATTTGCCATTACATTAACAAAAACATCACCTGGGTACCACAGTGGTGAGGCATATTTGGTGACTATTTATGAAGACTTCAAGAATATATCCTGCTAAATACCAGTTTAACTGTCCAATGCCTGGTCTGTACTATGTCATGGTGTGACCTATGCCATTTGTGACCATATCATACTGAGGGATATCCAGTTTCTTTTTCACCCATGATAATTCTCTGGAGTACTTAACAGAGCAATTACTCTCAAACATATATTAAGCTCAGTTCAGTACTATTCTCTCCTACTCATAAGATATTACTCACCTGGTCATAATATTTTCCTTAATACTATATATACAAATTACCAAAAAGGGAATAATTAAGCACTATATGGAGAATTTACAATGATTTATTACAAAACTATGAAAATATTAGTGCATACAGAAAAGCTCGGCAGCAATTACAGTGGACCCCTGCATACCGTTGGCATCACATAACGTTAAATCCGCATAGCGATACATTTTATTGCTAAAATTTTGCCTCGCATACCGCTAAAAAACCCGCTCAACGCTATTCGTCCGAGACGCGTCTAATGTGCGGCCTGAGCCAGCCTCACTATGTTCCGCTGGTGGCATTGTTTACCAGCCAGCCTCCGCGGTAACATCCAAGCATACAATCGGAACATTTCGTATTATTACAGTGCTTTTGGTGATTTTATCTGCAAAATAAATGACCATGGGCCAACCCTACAGGAATAAGGGTGAGAATTACTATAGAGATGAAGGAAGAGATCATTGCTAAGTATGAAAGTGGAGTGCGTGTCTCCGAGCTGGCCAGGTTGTATAGTAAACCCCAATCAACCATCACTACTATTGTGTCAAACAAAACGGCAATCAAGGAAGCTGTTCTTGCCAAAGGTTCAACTGTGTTTTCGAAACAGAGATCGCAAGTGATGGAAGCTGTTGAGAGACTCTTATTGGTATGGATAAATGAAAAACAGATAGCAGGAGATAGCATCTCTCAAGTGATCATAAGTGAAAAGGCTAGGAAGTTGCATGAGGATTTAATTAAAAAAATGCCTGCAACTAGTGATGATGTGAGTGAATTTAAGGCCAGCAAAGGTTGGTTTGAGAGATTTAAGAAGCGTAGTGGAATACATAGTGTGATAAGGCATGGGGAGGCTGCCAGTTCGGACCACAAAGCAGCTGAAAAATATGTGCAGGAATTCAAGGAGTACATAGAAACTGAAGGACTGAAACCTGAACAAGTGTTTAATTGTGATGAAACAGGCCTGTTTTGGAAGAAAATGCCAAGCAGGACCTACATTACTCAGGAGGAAAAGGCACTCCCAGGACATAAGCCTATGAAAGACAGGCTTACTCTGTTGATGTGTTCCAATGCTAGTGGTGATTGCAAAGTGAAGCCTTTATTAGTTTATCACTCAGAAACTCCCAGACCGTTCAGGCAAAAGAATATCCTCAAGGCTAATTTGTGTGTGCTGTGGAGGGCAAACAGTAAGGCATGGGTCACTAGGGACTTTTTCTATGACTGGTTACACCAAGCATTTGCCCCCAATGTGAAAGATTACCTAACTGAAAAGAAATTAGCCTTAAGTGCCTCCTGGTGTTAGACAATGCCCCTGGTCATCCTACAGCGTGGCAGAGGACTTTATGGGGACATGAGCTTCATTAAGGTGAAGTTTTTGCCTCCTAATACCACTCCTCTCCTGCAGCCCATGGACCAGCAGGTTATTGCAAACTTCAAAAAACTGTACACAAAAGCTCTGTTTGAAAGGTGCTTTGTAGTGACCTGAGAAACTCAATTGACTCTAAGAGAGTTTTGGAGAGAGCACTTTAATATCCTCAATTGTGTAAACCTTATAGGTAAGGCTTGGGAGGGAGTGACTAAGAGGACCTTGAACTCTGCTGGGAAGAAACTGTGGCCAGAATGTGTAGACAAAAGGGATTTTGAAGGGTTTGAGGCTAACCCTGGGAATCCTATGTCAGTTGAGGAATCCATTGTGGCATTGGGAAAGTCTTTGGGGTTGGAGGTTAGTGGGGATGATGTGGAAGAGTTGGTGGAGGAGGACAATGAAGAACTAACCACTGATGAACTGATAGATCAACTTCAACAGCAAGAGGCCAGACCTGAAGAAACTGCTTCGGAGGAGGGGAGAGAGAAATTGAAGAAGTTGCCTACTTCAAAGATTAAGGAAATGTGTGGAATGTGGCTTAAAGTGCAAACCTTTTTTGATGACAATCACCCTAACACAGCTATTGCAAGCCGTGCTGGTGACTATTACACTGACACTGTTGTGAAACACTTTAGGAAAGTCATAAAGGAACGAGAGGTACAGGCCACTATGGACAGATATGTTGTGCGACAGAAGTCCAGTGACTCTGAAGCTGGTCCTAGTGGCATTAAAAGAAGAGAAGTAACCCCAGAAAAGGACTTGACACCTCAAGTCTTAATGGAAGGGGATTCCCTTTCTAAACACTAAGACTCTCTCCTCCCATCCCATCAATCATCACCAGATCTTCAATAAAGGTAAGTGTCATGTAACTGTGCATGCATTTTTCAGTTTGTGTGTATTAAAATTAATATTTCATGTGGTAAAATTTTTTTTTTCATACTTTGGGGTGTCTTGCATGGATTAATTTGATTTCCATTATTTCTTATGGGGAAAATTCATTCGCATAACGATAATTTCGCATAACAATGAGCTCTCAGGAACGGATTAATATCGTTATGCGGGTGTCCACTGTACTTAGTTACTCGTAATTCAGCAGCCCTCTGTTACCAGATACTTGAGGTCCACATAAATAATGGTGCCTCTCTCCTTATCTTCCAAACAAATTCTAGCAGATTCTTATGAGTGAGGGTATATTCCAAATATTTCTGTGTTGATTCTGACCTCTGCTTATAAGAGGCCTACCGTTACCTCTTACATCTAACACTTGGCCCATAGGCTCACAGCTACATGTATCTACAGTATATCTTAACCATTCCCACGAGAACTTTCCCCACAAGTTCTCTAACTCTTAGTTCACCAATTTCTAGACTTGGCTCCTCCAAAGGTGGGGCTTTTACCCATACAGTCTTGATAAGCAAAATGAGTAAGACACATGTGCAGCATTCAGGTATCTTTATCCTAAAATGTTTCACCTACACAGTGGGATTCTTCAGTCAAATACAGAGGAGGCAGCAGAAGAGTGGAGATGTAGAGATGATGTAATCAGTCCATCACCTTAAAAGTAGTAATTTTGAGGTGATCATTCTCTCAGCCTAAAGAAGAGTTTTGCTCCACAGCCTGGAACCACGTGAAGCTGAAGTACCAAACTGGAGACTTGTATACTGGCACAGGCGAGATGCAGAGAATCTTGAAGACAACAGAAGAGGGGGGTGCCCAGCAGTAGAAGCAAGAATTGAGACATGTTTTGGAATAAAGATACATAACTACTGCATGTCTCGCTTATCAACAAGCCAGTACAATGGACCCTCAGTTAACGATGCCATCGGACAGCAATAAAATCGGATACCGATATGTTTTGCGTCAAAATATCAGCTCGGCTAACGATAAGAAACTCAGTTAAGGACATTCGTCCAGAACGTGTCCGCACGACCTGAGCCGCCTGGGCCACCCGGCCACTCAAGTGTGTCATTGTTTACAAGCCAGTGCGGATAATTCCACACATACATGCAATACATTTTGTATTATTCCATTGTTTTTAGTGCTTGTAACTGCTAAATAAGCCACCATGGGCCCAAAGAAAGCATCTAGTGCCAGTCCTGTGGTAAAGAGAGTAAGAAATACTATTGAACTGAAGAAAGAGATCATCGCAAAATACAAAAGTGGAGTGTGTGTCTCCGAGCTGGCCAGGTTACATAACAAACCCCATTCAACTATTGCTACTATCTTGGCCAAGGAAAAGGCAATCAAGGAAGCTGTTGTTGCAAATGGTGCAAATATGCTTACAGAACAGAGATTGCAAATACTACACGAAGATGTGGAGAGGCTGTTGTTGGTGTGGCTCAACGAGAAACAATCAACCCCACGTTAGCCACCCAGGATGACCCAAGAAAGTCAGTGCATCATTGAGGACTGTCTAACTTATTTCCATTGGGGTCCTTAATCTTGTCCCTCAGGATGCGACCCACACAAGTCGACTAACACCCAGGTGAACAAGAAAAAATGCCTGGAACTAGTGCTCGTAATGGTGAATTTAAGGCCAGCAAAGGCTGGTTTGAGAGATTTAACCCGTAAATGGTCCAAACGTATATATACGTTCTTACCGCTAGTGCCCCAAACGTATATAAACATTTTATTTTTCCTGCCTTCAAATATGGCACAATTGGCCTGAGATGCCTTGTCACCATAGAATGGGCCATAACACTCAGTGTGCACCATATTAAAAAAATCTGGGACCACTTACTACTTTGTGGGAGCACCAGTTCAAATGAGTGCCAGCTTGAGCAAACAGCGGGGCAAACACCTGGGATTCACCGATTTCATGTAGTATTAACTCTCCCATTTGAAAAGGAAAGTGATGTT